TAAGCTGAAATCTGACCTGAGATAATTACTAGCTGTGTAACCTTGGGCAAATCACTCAATTTTTCTCAATCTCCATTTCCTCATCTGTAAAATGGGAATAATTATACCACCTACATCACGGGGTTATTGCGAGAGTCAAATGAAATAACATGCTTCATATGCATTAAAAACTCTTTGAAGGCTAGCTCTTACTTATTATTGCTACTATTGTTATTGTTAATTTCCCAATCTGATGGCAGAAGCAAGAAAGCACCAATCATTTAGATTACATGGGAGATGAGGTTTCTATCAGGGAGATTCTAGAGGAGGATAGGGGACCAAATGTGAGCAGATATATTAATAATCAGAAAGTCATTCAATAAAATAAAGTTACAGAAAAGTGAGTTGTTATCAAAGAAAGCATAGATAGCACAGTGGCAGATATATAATCTGGGTTGAATTAAAAAAAAAAAGCATGGGTATGAGTATGGAATTTGCCCATTTGGACAAATCATTGTATGTGATATTGGGCAAATTGTTTAATTTCCCTGGACCTCAGTTTCTTCATCTGTAAAACAATGTGGCAGAATATAGAGAGCAACCCTACAAGAAAGGAGGAACTGGCCTCCAGTCCTGCCCCTGATGCATACCAAGGGTATAACCCCAGGCAAGTCACTTAACCTCCTAGTGGCCCATCTGATCCTCCAAGAGAGATCAATCTCCAATGCACATCAGAGGAGGAATTTTTCTTTTTTTAAAAAATTTATTTATTTTTAGTTTTCAACATTCACTCCCATAAGCTTTTGAGTTTTAAATTTCCTCCCTCTCCCTCCCCAAGATGGTGTGCAATCTGATATAGGCTCTACATATGCATTCCAATTAAACATGTTTTCGCATTCGTCATGTTGTAAAGAAGAATTAGAACCAATAGAAGGAACTACAAAAAAAGAAGAAACAAAACAAAACAAGGAAAATAAAAGAGCACATAGTATGCTTCCATCTGCATTCAGACTCCATAGTTCTTTCTTTGGATATGGACAGTCTTTTCTCTCATGAGGCTTTGGAGATGTCTTAGATGCTTGCATTGCTGAGAAGAGCTAAGTCTATCAGAGTCAGTCTTCTCACAATGTGGCTGTTACTGCATACAATGTTCTGGTTCTGCTTAATTCACTCAGCATCAGACCATACAAGTTTTTCCAGGTTTTCTGAAGTCAGCCTGTTCATCATTTCTCATAGCCCAATAGTATTCCATTACGTTCATATACCACAGCTTGCTCAGCCATTCCCCAATGGATGGGCATCCTCTCAATTTCCAATCCTTTGCCACCACAAAAAGAGCTGTTATAAATATTTTTGTACATGTGGGTCCTTTTCCCCATTTGTATGATCTCTTTGGGGTATAGCCCTAGAAGTGCTATTGCTGGGTCAAAGCATATGTATATTTTTATAGCCCTTTGGACATAGTGGAGGAGGAATTTTTCATACCAGGAGTTCTGTACACTAATAATACAACCACAAGTTGAGAACCAGAAAAACCCATAACTACATGAGCTTTAATTATCACATGATTTTCTAGTTATAACATTTTAAAATTCTTTTACTCCTCCTCCTCTTCACCATCACTATTATCATCATCACTGAGAAGAGTTTCTATAATAATCATCAGGGAATTGTGCATTAGAGAGAGGGGTCATGTAAATTATATGAATCATCTGGTAGCTGGATCATGTTTGTGTGATGGGGAAGGAGTGGACTTTATTAACCACTGTGATCTATGGAGGGAAGTGGTGACAAGGAGAGAGAGAAAAGCACATAAACTGCCAAGTTGCTGGGCCTTTCAGAATGGTTTGGTGGTATGGCAGTGGGGGTGGTCAAGTCAGGCCCAGGTGTGGCAATAAAGTGTGGTTGGTGAGTGAGGTCAAGGCCCAGTCTGTGAAACTTTCAACGGATAGCTCAAGTTTTGCTTATAAAAATATTTGTGGCCTTCGTTTTCGTAAATGCATAATTATACTAACAAACAATCATTGTGAGTGAAACAAGTTAGCAGCAGGATTCTGACCAGGCCTAGAAACAGCACTTAGCTCATAGTTTCCATGATGTCATCAGTGCCTGAGTTTGGCCAACCCTCAGCAGAGGCAAAAGGCACTCAGCCTTGTTCTCTGTGGTTCTAGGCTGCTAGCCATCACTAAGGCTGGTTCTAGATAAAGAAGAACAAGAAGAGACAAGAGTTTCTAGATCTGGGCATTTGGGGGATCCCCCATTTTAGAAATAATTATTTAAAAGACCAAACAAATCAAACTGTCAGTGACCAAGTGGCCAGTCCACAAGCCAAACTCATTTTCTCCCTTTTTGGTGGGATAGGATTCTGAAGAAATATTCATTGGTCAAATATTTCCATTAACTTTAACTTCTTTGTATCAGATCCAAAATAAATGTTACTCCTTTGGACTTTCTTCCCTTTGAAAAGATGTTCTCAGATTTAGGGTGCTGCTCCTGTTTTATAGGGTTTTTTTGAATTTATTATTAAATTTAATACTCTAAACAAGAAGAGTTTCTCTTTGAAGCAGGTGCAAAGCTTAGGCTTCAATGTTCGGTTCAGGTCTTAGATCACGTTGTGAACTTTTCAACCACGTAGTTGAATAAATGGAAGCACCCCATTTTGCTTATTTTTTTGGCTGTGTCAGCCCATGAAACAAAGAAAAATAGTGAATGATCTTCAGTCCTATATGGCCAACCTCCCTTTCTGCAGTGATGATGGCAAAATATCAGAAAAGCCCACAGAGTATGATAAGAACTGCTAGTTTTTAAAACTATCTTATAACTTTTAATTTCACTGCTGCGTATTCACACTGTAGATCCTTGTCCAAAAACCAATACTTAGTGGACACATTAATGGAGGAATTGTATCCTAAAATTCTTGACATTCTTGTGTTAATTAAGAGTATTCAAGTATTTTAAAGAGAGATATGATTTGTAGTTTAAATGAATGATTCTATCAACTATTTATAGAGTAATTAATACCTATAGCCCATAAATTATTCTATGAAATGAAAATTAAAACAAAAACACTGAACTTATTTTATGAGGGAAAAAATAGTTCTAATTTTTCTTTAACATGACTAATGTGAAAATATGTTTAATGGGAATATATATGTAGAGCCTATATCAGATTGCACTCCATCTTGGGAAAGGAGGTGGGGAGGGAGAGGGAGAAATTTGAAACTCAAAACTTTATGGAAGTGAATGTTGGAAACTAAAAATAAATAAATAAATAAATTTTAAAAAATGTTTATCATATAATTGAATAATTTCAAGTAGTGAAAGGTCTTTCAGAAGACTTTTAGGACCTTGACACCAAGGGGTGGAGTGTTGTTGGAGCAATAGCTCCTGAGGTCCCTGCTATATAGGCTATATAGTAGTTTTTACTGAAGTTCTACTCCACACACACTAGGCCACTTCTTTCCTTAAAATGTATTAAAACCATCTTGGAGACTCGGTCCAGAATACCAACACATAACTTCTTGGTAGTCTAAGTCCAGCAACCAGTATAGGAGAAGTCAAGAGTTCCTCCTTCAAGTTTGATATGAGTCATACAAGTACACCAATCTGAAAAACTCAGAGGCAGGGAAGCTGTGCTCAGCTGAATCAATGCAGTACTTTTGTTGAATATCATTTCCTTGCTAGGCCTAAGTAAACTTCTTCATAGTAACTACTAGATAGTGAATGAGCATCTAATTTTGTTTCAATCTCAGACCTAAGCTACAGCACCAGCCTGAGTAGCTGCCTTATATTAGGATATTTACCTTTCCCTGTTAACATCCAAACTTTCTTTATTTGTAAATAGGCATCTAAGACTATAGTCAACACCCTTCTCTTCTCTAGTCTAAACATCTCTGGTCTCCAGGTCTTTAATTACCATTTACCCATTGCATCTACACTCTCCCCTTTCCAATCTCATCTTCCACATAGCTGCCAGATGGATATTCTTCAGGCACGGGTGTGACCGTGTTACTGTTCCATTCAAGAAGCCTCAGTGACTCCTGTTGCCTTCAATATCCTCTCCACATTTAAAGCCTGCAGATTAATTAAAAATGACAACCCCTCCTGGATATTTTGTTCAAGTTGAATGACCTGTTTGCTACTCTCTGTCTGTAACATTCAGTCTCTTACATGCTTCCATGGCTTTGCATGAGCTGTCCCTATGCCTGATATGCTCTCCCCCCTTACTACTGCCTCATGCAATTATCCCTTCCACATTGCAGCTTTCTCCATCATGTTTTTAATATACTATGTGTTGACATAAGAAATTAAATGGGAATTTTGGAGAAGTTTTACAGAAGCCACAGATGATAAGCAAAGGCCAGCAGATGACACAGGAAGTTTAAAAACTCACAAATGCATAAATATATGTATAGTACTATACACATTTCATCTTTTAATGATATAATAATTCAAACTTCTTCTCTGATACAAAGAGAGGGCCAAAAATTTTGTACAGATTTTCCAGATCATGGGGCACTGCACCCCTAACCCTTATGATGTGGAACATATAACCATATAACCTCTAATTCTTTTCAAGGCTCATCTCAAGGACCACCTCCCTCAAGAGGCCTGTCCTGATTCTTGTATGTATTAGAACTTCCTCACCCCAAATTACCATGAATTTTTAACATCCTGTACTCATTTACCCATCAACAAATTGTATCTCACTACTTTAGGTCAGGGATGGTCTCAATTTTTCATTTGTATCCCAGGCTTAGCAAGGTTTCTGGCACAAAGTAAGTGCTTAATAAACACTTGTTGATGAATTGATATCCATTTTTCCAAAATTATTTCTAAAGCTGAGTGCCCAGAGCTGAAATCACTCTGCATGAAATACTTTTATGCTTGCTTAGTAGACTCTTGACAGAATTAGGAACCTCTCTTATTGTGTTGAAGCTTTAGTAGTCTGTGCTTTACGACAGTTGATGTAATACCAAGGTATTTCCATTCCCATAACAGAGACTGTACCTACATGATCATCACTATTGCCAGATTCCTCTGAATTCACAGATGTGTAGCTCCAAAGGATCAGCTTCACACAACCTAAAGACTGCCTGGAGGTGCAACAAATGTAGAAGAAAACGTCCATATTTTCCTTCAGACTCATGTGTTCCTTCGTGGGCAGAATGCTGCGGTCAGCGATTTGAGGATTCTTCCACTGGATTTTAAACAGAAACATACTGTTGAATGGTATTGAATAATTTTACAGCCTCATCTCATTATATTTTCTTTAGAGAAGAGTACAAATGGCTGGCAGCTCTTTAGAGCTAAACAAGTCAGAATCCAGTTATTCTTTAATATGACTTTGGTCTTATAAAAATCAGGCTTACATTAGATGGCATCCCTTATTTTCTGCAGTGATCTCTCAAGTTTTGCTATAATGTACTGGGGACAGCTTGGGATGCTTGCTATTAATGATTCTTCTAGTGGACTGGGATATTAGGTTTGCCACATTTTCCTATGATTGGTTTTTTTAAAAATTTTACAGAATCATAGAATTTGAGAGTTGGAAACTGCCATAATCCCCAACCAATTTAATTTAATTAACTTTTATTAAGTGCTAGCTATATGTAAGTCACTATGGTATGTCTTTGGAATTCAAAGATGAAAGAAAGAATAGAAATCTCAGGGGCAGAGCCAAGATGGTGAAGTGAAAGCAGTGACTTGCTTGAGCTCTCCCCCAAATCCGTCTAAATACCTGTAAAAATTCTAAAGCAGTAGAACCCGCAAAAAGACAGAGTGAAGAAAATTTCCAGCCCAAGACAGCCTGGATGGTTGATTGGAAAGGTATATCATACCAGGCCATAAGAGAAGCGCAGTGCGACATGGGTGCTCAGGCCAAAGCAAAGCTGGAGCAGGCCTCAGAGGACTGAATCGTGGGCAGCTGTGGTGCTTTCCAGACTTCTCAACCCAGGAATGCCAAAGACAACTTAGAAGGTCAGTGGGAAAGGTCTGTGTTCATGGTGAGAAAAAGAAGTGAGGTCCTCTCAGCTGCAAGTCCCTAGTGTGGCCTCAAGGTGGTGGCTGCCTCTTGAGCTTCCAGCCCACAGACTGAGGGGGAATAGAGTGGCTGATCACAGGGGGATTGCAGGGATCTCTCTGCTGGTGCAGGATTCTCTTGCTTTGCCTGTGCTTGGATCTGGGTCACAGTTCTGGGTGGCGGCCCTGGGGTGAGGAGGAGAATGGTAGAGCCTGTAGTGGCTGGTGAGAGGAAATTCTCCTCACAGTTCCAAGACAGAAAAGTGTCCTTGTGGTCACTCATGGTGCAGAGCACAGGACAGGAAAGGAGTAAACACCTAGCCCCTTATCATACCACCTTGGAAGAACTGAACACTTACAGGTCCCTAGAAGTATCTCTGAAAACAGCTGTACAAACCCCCAAAGCTTGGGACAATACATTCTCCACATTGGAAGCAGACTCTTACCTTAACAAAGAGTTTAAAACTCAAGTAATAGGCTGGGATCATGAGCAAACCTCGCAAAAAGAGTCAGACTATATTACCTTACTTTGGTGACAAAGAAGATCAAAACATACAACCAGAAAAAGACAACAAAGTCAAAACTCCTGCATCCAGAGCCTTCAAGAAAAACATGAATCGGTCCCAGGCCTTGGAAGAGCTCAAAAGGGATTTTGAGAAGTAGAGGAAAAACTGAGAAGAGAAATAAGAGTGATGCAAGAAAATCATGAAAAACAAGTCAACAGCTTGCTAAAGGAGACTCAAAAAAATACTGAAGAAAATAACACCTTAAAAAATAGCCTAACCCAAATGGCAAAAGAGGTCCAAAAAGCCAATGAGGAGAAGAATGCCCTAAAAAGTAAAATGGGCCAAATGGAAAAGGAAGTGCAAAAGCTTACTGAAGAAAATACTTCCTTAAAAATTAGAATAGAGCAATTGGAAGCTAGTGACTTTATGAAAAATTAAGACGCTGTAAAACAAATCCAAAAGAATGAAAAATTAGAAAACAATGTGAAATATCTCATTGGAAAAGCAACTGACCTGGAAAATAGATCCAGGAGAGAGAATTTAACAATTATTGGACTATATGAAAGCCATGATAAAAAAAAAAAGCCGAGACATCATCTTTCAAGAAATTATCAAGGAAAACTGCCCTGATATTTTAGAACCAGAGGGCAAAATAGAAATTGAAAGAATCACTGATCTCTCCTGAAAGAGATCCCCAAAGGAAAACTCTAGGAATATTGTAGCCAAATTCCAGAGTTCCCAGGTCAAGGAGAAAATATTACAAGCAGCCAGAAAGAAACAATTCAAGTACTGTGGAAACACAATCAGGATAACACAAGATTTACAGCTTCTACATTAAGGGACCAGAGGGCACAGAATATAATATTCCGGAGGGCAAAGGAGATAGGATTACAACCAAGAATCACCTATCCAGCAAAACTGAGTATAATCCTTCAGGGGAAAAAATGGTAATCCAGTGAAATAGAGGACTTTTAAGCATTCTTGATGAAAACACCAGAGCTGAATAGAAAATTTGACTTTCAAATACAAGACTCAAGTGGAACATGAAGAGGTAAACAGGAAAGAGAAATTGTAAGAGACTTAATAAGGTTGAACTGTTTACATTCCTGCATTAAAATATGTTATTTATAACTCATGAGACCTTTGTCAGTATTAGGGTAATTGGAGGGAAAAAATTATGTGTGTGTGTGTGTGTGTGTGTGTGTGTGTGTGTGTGTAGATAGATAGAAAGATACATAGATAGATAGTTTCTTTAATAAAAATATATTCAGTAACCCCCCGGTAAAAGTAGCTCATGAGGTGGTAAAAGCAATCCACAAGGAGAGAAAAGCACACAAAAAGCAACTACCAAGGTGATAAAAGCAGTTAGCAAGGATTTTAGCTTTCCATCCAAGCTCTTCTGAAGTTCTTATGAATATTCCTTGGCCCAAGGGGCCGCAGCTGGGTTTTAGGTAAATCTACTTGGAGCTAAAGTTCACCTTAAGTGCCCCAGATCTATTGCATGGTGTAATAGTTCACAACACCACCACCTGAAGCTATGGGAACATGGGAGTTGACTCAAGTCACCTAGCTCCACAAGAACCCTGGTCAACAAGAATCTTCATTTAATTGTTACATTTTAAAACTAGGTGAAGAAAAATTTAAAGACCATTACTACCACATTTGCATATAATAAACTTTTCATAAATATCTCTTGACTATTATTTGGGATAAGTGCACTTATTCCAAAGTTTCTCTCTGAAAATTTTTTGTAATGAATCTTCACACTATCAGGTGATCCTGATTTCTCAAATTCTATGCCAGAAGAAAACAAACTCTGGCACGTTGTATTAGTAGAAGAAGGCTTTGAAGGCAGTCCTATCAATTAATTCTATTTTCTGAAGACTAAAGTAGCTAAGGATGAAAAGGCATCTGCTAAGTGTTAACTCTTTGTTCACAACCCATGAAAAAAATGGAAAAAAAAATCAAAAGAGCTCGCAGTCCAGTAATGTTACATTCCACTTTGACAGGAACACTGATGGAAAACAAAACAAAACAAAACTAAACTAAACTTAAAAAAATCAACTCTGGTGTCAGACAAAATGAATTCTAATCTTACCTCTGACCCTTACTACTTCTGTGATCTTGACTAACTAATTTATCCCTATAGACATCAGTTTCCTCATCTTTAACATGGGGATGTCAGACTCCATGGCCTATGAGGTCCCTTCTGGGTCTAGATTTATGATAGCATAATGTGAAAGGTGGAATAGGGGACTAGATGGAAAGAATCACAGAACGTTTAGACTGTCTATAAACGTTCACCTACCTGCTTCTAAATGAGAACTCTTTGCCCTCTGACCAACAACTTCACATATTATTTGACGAAATGCAGTGTATCTATATAGATAATCGAGTATAAACCAAAGCTGAAGACAAAAAGGAAAGTGTTACTAAATAGGGGATGATAGCTCACAGTTTCTCCTACAAGAAATAGTAATACTCAGAAAAGGTACTGAGAAAACATTAGGAGTTTTCTATTCATTATAATACATTCTTGTCTTTATAATATCTTAATGATAATGATATGCACATATATTGAAAATGCAATTATATGAGAAGAGCAAAGAGGCCTCTATTTTTATGTAATTTTATTTTTTATTATGAACTTAAACACTGCAAAAAGGAGGAAATTTTCGTATATACAGCATAACACAAAAGAGGGCTATATAGGAAACTGAATCTCCATTTCATTGTTTTTTTTTTCTTTTCTGAAGTATATAATAAATTCCACTTGTCACTTTCAAACTGTACTGGTTATCTCGACTTTCTTCTGAACATCATTCTGTTCTATATATTTTAGGTGGGAATAAAAAGTTTCAGTGGGTCTTTTTTAATGGCCTTCTTTTTGAACATCATTATGGCTATTGCCTTTATTTTTTCCAATGCCACCCTACCATTTAAAAATCAGGAGGAAGGAAGTAACAATCTTACAACAAATAAGCATAGTCAAACAAAATAAATTCATTGTGCCTTTGCATTTTGAGCTTATCACTTCCTTGTTAGGAGGTGGATAACATGCTTTATCACAGCTCCTCTGGAAACATAGTCATTGTATTGATTGGAGTTGTTATGTCTTTACAGTTGTTTTTCTTAACAATGCTCTTGTGCTTGTATAAATTGTTCTCCTGGTTCCGTTCACTTCATTCTGCATCAGGTCATTTTTAGTAGGGTTCTCTGAAATTGGCCCTGTTGTAATTTCTTATGATGAAATAAACATTTTCCATTGCATTCAAATATCACACTTTGTCCAGTCATTCCCCAGTAGTCTAACAGAAATCAAGGCACCCCACATAGACCCTTAGATTTTATTTCTGTTCTCTTTTTTTCTTTTTCTTTTCTTTTTCTTTCCCTTTAATCTGTTCTTATGGATTAGGAAATTTATTTTCTTGCAGCTGTTCCCATTCTTCCATCTCCTATTCTCTCTCTTAAATTTAATGTGTTTCTGCACCAAAATATGTGTGTGACCAATCCTCTTTTGTCAGTGTCAGATAATAGTAAATTCATTTAATGCCTGATTCCTCCTTTTCCTTCATGTTTGTATAGCCTTCTTCACATGTACCCTGATTAAGAGGAATTCAATTAAATTCAGTAAGCATTTACTAAGTGTCAGGCACTGTGCTAAGCACTGGCAATACAGATGAAAGAGAGAGAGAGAGAGAGAGA